CCCACGCACTGCCCCCAGCCCAAATGCCACCACCACCCATACAAGGCTGAGCTGTCGGGGTACTGAGGAGTGATGAGCATTCCCATCCCCAGCCAACAGCTGTGCAACTGGCAGTTCCACTTACTCTCAGCCCTTCCCTGCCTTCTTCTCTCCTCCCCTCCCCTCCCTTCCCTGCTCTTGCACGGGGCAGGAGGTACACCCGAAAGGCCCTGCGGGGCTGATGGCCCAGGTCCTTGGGATCTGGAATGCTGCACCAAAGGGGCATCCAGAGCGAGTGTAATGCTCTGGAGAAGATCCCTCTGCCTTCCCCAACACGGGGTGACCAGCCTGTCTGGTCTTTCCCACTGTTTCTCTGACAGCCTCTCCTGCCCCTCGGGGCACAATAAAGATTACCTGCATGCAATGCCTGTCTCCCTCTCTCCTTGTCCGATGTTTGGTGCCTGGCATCTGTGGCAGGGCAAATGTTGGTCTCTCCATATGTCACCAGTCTATATCATACCTCTTGTCATACCTAGGAGAGAAGAGGCGATTCATGGTTTCTCATTCTCCGGCTCCAGATCAGTGGTGCTCAGCTCAGGGAAAATGTTCTTTTCCCTTTTTAGGGAGAGGAATGATTCAATTTCAGAATTGTAGTGATGACTTGGGAGCTGGTGGTTGGACTAGAGGTGCCTCTTCAAGAAATGTGTGCATACTTATATATAACTATGCATACAGATATATATTTGGGCCATAACATACATATATTAGAGGGTGGTGTCTTCGCTTCTGTTCATGGTCTTCCAGAGGAAGGCATGATGCTGCCCTCTCACTCTCCAAAACTTTGTACTTCTACAAAACTGCTACTGTATCACATTCAAGGAATTTGTAACTCCCCTGGGATCAAAATGAAACACAGATCATCTTTTTCTCAGTTTTACTCAAGATGACCCATCCCACAACATTATTTTACCCCTTAGTGTGGTATGCGTGCAATTAATTAACTTAAGATTAGCACCTTTCAAATTTCCTGGATTCACCCTGTCTTTTGGAGTAGTGGTGACACGTTGGCAGTAAAAGGGAAATTGGGTGTGCTCTTCCCCTTGTTTTTACAGGTTCTGCTTATATTACCAGGACTCTCTGGTTTTCTGTATTTACAATGGATTCACTCAAGAGCATGCAATCTCCCTATGCCTTACCATCACCTATTTCGGGCTACTCAGAGAATTTTTCCTCTTCTGTCACTTCTTTCTGATTATAGCCTGTGTTATACCAGATGTTTTCTCCGTAGTCAGCAGATGCATGGCTTTGCACTATATTACTGAAGATCATACCGTTAGTGTTACTCCCATCAGTTAAACCATCTAGTTTTTCCAGTCTTAAAGTCTGATTCCCTCCTGTTTAACGCCACTCAGCTTTATGTTATCAGCACATAAAACAGAGTGCTCCCAAATTATGTGCCAATGCCATTAATGCAAAGAAATAATTAGAGGTTTTCTGAGACTGATCCTTGAGTAACAAATGTAGTAAACTCCCTCCATCCCTATAACTCTCATATAACATTAGACACTGACAGAAAGGGTATCTCTATGTACTATTTTGTAATCAGACATGAGCTCACCCAGAACAGGCATCCAGCCCAAATAGAAGCTACGTAATCATGTTAGCTGGGTACTAATAGCTCTCACCAATTTTGTTATCTTGGGCTGGGCACTTGCTGTCTGACACAATACACATCTAACTGGGTGCCGGCTGGTACCTGCCTGACACTGTCTCATTGAGAGAATCAGTGGAAAAGTTGGCAGTCAGAGCTCAGGTGTTCAGCTGTGATCATGTATGATTTACACTGAAGTACCTCTCAGAGGCTGTGAGTGAGAGCAAGGATCCTGGTGCTGAGCAGAATAGAAACAGAGAGGACGCCAGGCATCCATGTTTTGTAAAGCTGTCCCAGGAACTGCCCTGGGCTGAACTAGCTGGGAGGAACTAGGGCTTTGCTCAGCACAAGAGAGGTACTTGAGCCAAGGAGATGCAGGGCTGGTGCGGCACAAGCTCCTGGGAATTTGTGGCAACAGTGTCCTTGCCTCAAGCCACGTGAGGATGGAGAGCAGCAGCAGGGACAGGGCGCTGTTTCCTTGCACCCAGAAGGCAGGAGCCTTTCTTCTCCATCTCAGCTGCCTGGGCTCTTCACACATCCCAGGCACCCATGGGACAGGGGCTGGGCTCTCAGCTGAGCCTTTCAAGCACCAGTCCCTTCCCAGACCTTTCCCAAAAAGCTCAGGGCCACGAGGGCAGGCAGTGTTGGGACAGGGAGGATGAAGCAGGCAGAGAGGAGAACCTTTCAGTGAAGGGCTTTTTTTTGGTCAAAGCATTCTCAATAAGTATTTGTTAATCAGTAAAAATAAAATAGTATTTTCTTAAAACAAAAGCAAGATTTGTGAGTACCATAGACTAATTTTCTTTTCAGCTTGTGACTACTTATATCACACAGCCATCTGACACATCCAGTTACAGTGGGGGACGTCAACATTGAAATTACCTGTTAAAATCAGACTTGCTGTTCCATGACACTGACAGAGGGTTGAGATCAAGAAATTGTACATTCATGCATGGAGCTTTTCTTTGAAAGAGTCTCAGTGAAGTAATAGGTAAATCCTCTGTAATGCACTAGTTCATATTCTTTTTACTTCACCCAGATGACTTACAGACTCAGACAAAACTTCCCTGAGGCAACTGTTATCACAGCAATTATTAACAAAAAAAAGAGGTAGTGCTTGGTCTTTGCTCATCAGATACCTATCTTAAAAATTGTCTCCCATTGTTTACCTTCCTCCTATTGTTTCTTTTCAGAATATGCTTTGACAGAACTTCAGGCCACGTTTTTTTACTTTGTCTTTGAACACAGTCTGATGATATCTAGTACATCATCTGGGAAGATGTAAAATTAAAAGGAATTCCAGCACTAAATTAACTAGTGAAAAAAAAATTGAACTAACTACTGGAAGTCTGAAAACTAGAATAATTAGCATAGGGAAAATTATAATTTCAGCTCAGTAACAATGGAAAACTGGGCAGATAGGTTTCTTAGCAGCAGGACTCTGTGTGGCCAAGGCTGTGGGGTCTCCCCAAAGGCAGCTCAGCCTGGCTCTGCAGGGGCTAAGAGACTGCCCTGGCCCGGCTGGCAGGGGACACGTGCAGGGCAAGGGAACCCTGCAGCCCAGGCTGGGCTTTGAAAGACAAGGTGGAGAGGCAGGCGTTGGATGCAGGCTTGTTTTATTGTAAGTACAGGAAAACACCCACTGGAGAAAGACACACAAAGCAGAGGCAGGCAGGCTGTCACCCCAGGCTTCAAGAGTGGTGTTCCTTCAGGCTTCTCCCAGGAGGTGGCAATTGCAGGGAGAAGCAAGTGTCCTCTGGAACGATGGTGGAGTTAGACATTTGGCCACTGGCAGGGGCAGGGAAGAGATGAAACAAATGAAGAAAGAAATGACAAGTGTAATTTATGGAGCTATTCTGACTCCACTGTATTAAGTGGAAGTCTTTGATGCTCTGCCCCTTACTCAGGAGCTCAGCTGAGGATCAAGATTGTATTATGCATTTGCCAGTCATTCTTAGTCAAGGGGTATTTCGGTAGGATTTAGCAGGGCCTGCAGCTGCCACGGCTGTACCTGTTGTACCGGTAGGAGTAAGGGCTGCAATAGCCAGAACCATAGGATCTACCGTAGCCATAGAGGCCCCTGTAACCCAGGGAGCCCCCATATCCATGCAGACCCCCATAGCCCAGGGAAGAGCCCCCATATCCATACAGACCCCCATAGCCCAGGGAGCCATAGCTGCCATAGCCTCCATAGCCAAGGGAGCCCCCATAGCCCCCGAGGACGGGTGCTCCAGAGGATCCCACAACTGAATCCTGGGGGAAAGAGCTGAGGATGGGGCCAGGGAAGGTAACAACGACTGGGGGTGGCTGGATCACAGTTGTGGAGTCAGGGCACTGACGGACACACGGCTCATTCCCACTGTCAGCAATGGGCTGGGGGCGGTTGATGCCACCAATGGCAGTGGAGCACAGGTCGTAGCAAGACATCTCGCAGGGATGGAGGTCAGTCTACAAGAGTTGATTTTACCAAGTATAAGAAATTATTTACATACATAAATGTGCTATAGAGTTCATTGCTTTTCCTCAGACAAGAGTGTTTTGAAGTACACCGATTTACCCATGTCTATTAGAAATTAAAATTGAAGCAGAACAGCAAAATTATTTGCTCAGATGCTTCGGTGAGTCAGTGGATCAGCAAGGACTGGGAGTCCAAGAATGGAGTATGTTGTTATGCATGATTTCATGACTAACTCTTCATTCCCACTCATCTCCTTTGTGCTGAGCCTTGTGAGAACGGGGATTATAAGTCATTGTCTATTCAAATTTGCTCAGCAACTTGTTTGATGAGACCATTACAAGGGAATTGCAAAGATTATTGTCCCCAGTTTCCAAACACTGAATCAAGGCACTGAGATATTTACAACTAGCTTAATAACAGTGTTTTGATTCTGGTCTCCAAACTCTCTTGAAAAAAATCTCACCCCAAACAACTTGTCCCCATTAACATGAAAAACCCAGTGCTTCACCTGTCAGCTCCTTAAATTCCCTCCATGACCCCTCTTTCTCTTAATTAAATAAATTTCTTACAGAACATTTGACAGCTCTTAATTCCTCTCTCTGTCCTGCTCTATCTAAGCTAGTGCCTGATCTCTGGTAGTATTCACGCCCGTTTATCTTAATGTAAAAGCACGTTGAGTGATCTGTAATAGAATAAACTGGAGATAATGGAAGGTCTGCTTCTAAGCTCAGCGTTCCCCTGTGAACCATGAAGATTTAAACTTTTTCAAATAATTTCCAGTTACCCATATAAACAGAGAAGAGGAATGCATAATGAACTAGTCATATCATTTCTTCAGTTGTTCCAAGTGAATTAATAACAAACTTAATTTTCTGCCATATCAAGAAACTTTCAGTTTGCTTTGAAATTAAATGCTAACCCTGAATGCAGCGAACACCTGTGCATAACACATATAATCATTTTTGTAAGCTTTATCATTTCACCTAAAATTTTACCCACTAGTTCTTAACGGAAAAGACCATCCTAGATTAAATGGTATAGCAAAGAGCTATTCCAATAGTTGTAAAGAGCAGATTCAGACTTACCCAATTCACTGAGAAGAACAAGTGAAGAAAAGAGATTGGAAGAACCCTGAGTGGAGTGAGCTTTTATACAGTTGAGACTGCCTGAGGGATGAGAAGCTGGTTTCGTGAATGTGGATCTAATTAGTTGACACAGCACATTTTTTGCATTGATAGTTCCGCAAAGTGATGACATTGTTTCGCTTTCTGTTTTTTTGTTTGTTACTTGATTTCAATTATCATGTAACATAACACACACATTACATCACACAAGGTTCTTTCATCTAAAAGAGTAATGGGTGAAATTAATGCATCTTACATCCTAAAACATGATTCATGAAATTAATATCAGTTTTCTATTCTCTTTGGAGTTGCACCATGTAGTAAACTGCTTATACACAGGTAACCTTCTTCTGTTGTCTTACATGACAATGATGCTCAGACATTTATGCTCAGTCATTTATCAGAAATAACCTGCTGTGAGGTGTTTCTTTCAAAGTCCCTCACATAAGTTTTCTCTCTTCTTAAAGATAAAATATAGTCTATCCTTAAATCCTCAGGAAGGCAGGCAATATTTTTTGTGTGCTTAGGTTTATTTCTGACATGTGATACAATTCGTATTGGAAACCATGGACTATTCTCAATATTCTCTGAATCAAATTATATTGTGAGCGTTCCCAAACACACAGTGGCAGATGTCCAAAACAGCCTTAGGTTTTATCTGACCCTCAAACTACAGCTTAAAGCTGAATTTAGTTCTGAAAGGAGATATTTATATTTTTAATGCTTAGGATGGAAAGCTCAAAATAATCAAAGTGTACGTTGAATTAATACAAAAATTTGTGGTTTACTGAGATAGCTGTTTCTATGGAAGGTATATAGGAGAAACCCCAAATTTAATTGTATTAGAAAAAAAGCCTTTCTTTTTTGAAAGGAAGAAGAGAGCCGTGAAGTAAGATTTCAGAGTAACAGACTAAGCCACGGTCTAATAGCATTAACAACTCAATGGCTTCATCCCAGAATATGCAATTCTTACTGGTGTCCCCTTTGCTCATCTTCTGTGTTTTATCTCTGCTCTTCTAGCATGTCTGCAGGTACATTCAACAGGCTCCTTTTGGCTGTTCAAAACTGCTGAGAACTCCTGCCTAAATCAAAGACCATTCACAGGTGTTAAAGGATTTCTGCAGCTCTTATTCCACTTGCATATCCAATAGATAAAAGCAACTTTTTAGACATCAAAGTGTCTAAAGTGTCATCAAAGTGATATCAAAAAGTGGACAGATTCCCAGTGCATATCCGAAATCATAAGCAGTCAGGGATAGTCAAAACTTTCAGCCCAGTTTGATCCACAAGTTTGAGAGGATACGTTTTCCTGAAGTTTCCTTTAATTTCTAGCTTGCTCCTCAGGAGTCCTTGGTCCTGGTCTACAACTGATCTTGCAGCTAACCCCATCATTGATGGCATCGTTCAGTAGAGAGCAATTATGAGGTGGGAATCCACTGGGAAGGTCAAATGCCGGCTTTTGCTGAGGTTTCTTTCTTTGTTTATGCCATTATTGTAATACTATATTATTATCATGGTTATCATAATCATCAACGTGGTTATCTTCAGACCACATATCATTTCTAAATTACAAGCTTTTCCAAATCTGGAGATACATATGGAGACTTCCTAATTTATAATACTGAAAAAAGCCATCTCAAAGTTTTACGAGAACATTCCAAGGGATTTTCAAATACCTCATGAACACCCATTACTGGTTTATACATATTGTGTCATAATTATATAAAAAGTATGCCTGGATGCATACACCCCACTATTATGAGAGATTATCACATTAAAATGGGTAATTTAAGATCATTTGGGTCTTTCCCGTAATCAGTTCATGATTTATAACAGTTTTTGGACCTTCTTTTCTTCGACTTTAAAAATAAAATCTTCTTTTTTATTAAAGTGCACATTGGTCCAGAAACAGAAATCTGCTTATGTTAACTGAACTGTTAGCCAACAACAACAACCCAACAGGGTACAATGGGGTCTGTCTCCTTTGTGTCAGGGCTAGAATCCCTTTCAGTAGTCATGTCTTATCACCTGATTTACTTGCTTCTCTTAGTCCTATATTCCTAGGTACGTCTCTAACACGTAACAAATAGGAGGAGAAAACATGATAAAATATAAAGGAAAGCAAAGCTCGACGAAATAACTCAGAAAAATCAGTTTCCATAGACTTGTGACTGCCAGCTGAAATATTTCTCTGTTCCTGGGACTGAAAGACAACTAGTAGAGAACTGTCCAAAAGCCATTAAAAGATGTTCCTGATTATTGTGTTTGCCTTGTATTAAGTAGCTGGACGTAGAAGTGCTAAGCCTGCAGAAAAAAATGTTTTTACCCTTGTTATTTGTCTCCAGCCTTCATCTGAGATCCTAAAAGAAATTCCATTTTGTCTCCAGGTATACTGTTGATTACACTAAAAGACCTGTAACCAGACAAAAGAAATGACTGTCCTCCTGTCATCCTAATTATGCAGGACTCTTAAATAAATCAAGTCAGCTTACTTCCTCCCCTAATGCTAAAGACAGCAATGGAATAATAAAAAAAATAATTCCACACATAAAGCCTGGAGATAATAGAGAGGTCTGCGGTGGAGCTTGCATGTCACGCTATGTGTGGGTTTGAAGTGCCTGCCATGCACAAGCAATAAGCAAAAACAATTTCAGCACATTGAGGAACTACGTGTCCTACAATTTGGGGTTTGTACCTAATTATGAACTCATGCATAGGATGCCTAATGTCCTCCAGGCAACTGACAGAGCTGTATAAAAGCTCTCTGCCTTAAGTCTTTCTATCCATTTCTCTCACCTTACTTGCCTTCGTGAATTAGGTAAGTCAGACTTCTCTCAAACTTTGCTAAACTTAACTTGCTGTCGAGAACTCTTGATTTTAACTTAGGACCAAATCCTCTTCAGTTACTGCCAGCGATCTGTAGATTATTTGCCGCTGAAAATAATGTTTGGTTCCTTATTCGTTACCAGGCACTATAAAGACAGGCTCCAGAAGAGGGGTATATCAAGCAGTTTGGAATGCCAAACTTGTAACATTTCAGCACTTCAAAGACTTCTTTGACTATTTTAGGAGATAAAGAATAGTTCATATACATGGTTGTATATGGCTGCATTTAGCAGAGTTCTGCTGAGTTTTTAACAGGAAAGATCAAACTTATTAAATAGCAACCATCAACTAATAGTAACATAGTACTATCAAAATTAACTCTGGAGATACCAAAGATACAATTGAAAAGTACATGACTTTGTCATACTAAAGTCAAAACTAGCCTCCAGATTACAGTGCTAGGAAGAATAGTGGTAGAAAATATGTTGACTTCCCAGATTTATTACTGATACCCTGTTGGACTGCTTCATCATAACCTAATATTTGATATTTCTTTAATGTTAAGATAAACGACTATGTTTTACAGACTGACCTCCATCCCTGCGAGATGTCTTGCTACAACCTGTGCTCCACTGCCATTGGTGGCATCAACCGCCCCCAGCCCATCGCTGACAGTGGGAATGAGCCGTGTGTCCGTCAGTGCCCTGACACCACAACTGTGATCCAGCCACCCCCAGTCGTTGTTACCTTCCCCGGTCCCATCCTCAGCTCCTTCCCCCAGGATTCAGTTGTGGGATCCTCTGGAGCACCCGTCCTCGGGGGCTATGGGGGCTCCCTTGGCTATGGGGGTTATGGCTCCCTGGGCTATGGGGGTCTGTATGGCTATGGGGGCTATGGCTCCCTGGGCTATGGGGGTCTGTATGGCTATGGGGGCTATGGCTCCTCCCTGGGCTATGGGGGTCTGTACGGCTATGGGGGCTCCCTGGGTTACAGGGGTCTGTATGGCTATGGTAGATCCTATGGTTCTGGCTATTGCAGCCCTTACTCCTACCGGTACAACAGGTACAGCCGTGGCAGCTGCGGGCCCTGCTAAATCCTACAGAAATATCCTAAGTGAGGTATAACCAACAAGTGAGATGCGATGGTTTCACAGCTGAAGAGGTCTGAACCTCCACTGCTCTGTTCCAAGACCCCAGAGCTGTAGCCCTCCAGCCCCTTTTGAATTTCTCCTCTTAACTTCTACTTTCAGTTTCTGCCCTAATGCTTCTCCTGTCACATTTCCGTATTACCTGGGGTAAACAGGTAACAAAGTTGCCCAACATGATTCCTGTTTGTTCAAATCAACAGCTAAGACTCAGGAAGAAAAAAAAAAAAAAAAAATCAATCATACTGAACATACCCCTGACTGGAGAAGAGTTTCGTACTTCTTGGAGACTCTGAAAATGTATTCCTTTTCTCACTATCATTAAAAGTTTATTGCATCAAAGTTGCCATGTTCTGGTGTTCTTTTCTCATGTTTTTATCCTTGTTATTTGTCTTAGGAGAAGTCTAACCTGTGCAGCTATCAGTAACAGTCTAAACCATGTAGATTAATGTCCTGCCCCAAAAAATCAGGGATTTCAAATGTACAAAGGAAGCATGAAGCCCTCAGCACAGAAGGAACTACTGTCCTGCCCTCCCCATACTTCAGATAAAGATTCTTGACATTTTTGAAGAATTTGGTTTCTTGGTTGTACCTCCACTGGTTACAGATTAGTAGCAGTAAAGAAATGAAACAGTAGATTACTAATTTTAAACTCTTTCCTAAAAACATTAGACTTCAGTAAGAATTTCTTCCACGTAAGTCTTTGATTCATCTCTTTGAACTTCAGGTTCTCACTCAAGTACTTGAACTCTGTCCTCAGAATTAGTCTCTGCAGGAAGTTGAATTAATTTTCTGTCAAATCCTTAAAGAAAGAAAGTTTTCTGGGCCATCCAATGGAACTTTTAGATCTGAAGTTTGGGTAGTGATCTTTCTGTATAATCATGAAATCTGAGGTGTTGGATGTTTTTTGACAGAAAAACAGCTACTCCATACAGCTACCCCAAGGGCTAATTCATCTATGCCAGCAAGAACAGCTGGAACAGATAGAACAGAGTTATGGTGCCTGGAAAGCTTAAAAGGTAGAAAAAGTCATAACCCTGTATACATATCCTCAACACTGTTGTTGTCTTTCCCAATTCCTCCTGCATGGGAAGTCCTCACAACAGAAACCCCCGCTTTCAGCAGCTCTACCTTTCAGCCTCTCCCACGATATTCCTCATCTAAAAGGTCCATTAGACATCCTACCCACCTCTGAAGAGCTCTTTTCCTTTTTGCAGCTTCTCCAATCCTCTTCCTCTCAGCAGCTCCGTGCCAATACCCTTCGCTGCTCTCTCCCCACCTCCCTAAATCCCTTCTGACTCAGGAGCATCCCTCCCACCTGAGGGCCTCATCTGCTACGCTTTTCCCCATAATCTGCTCTGAATCCAGCCTCAGCTGAGCCACCAGCTCTGCTCCTGCTACGATCAGCAAAGACATTCAAGTGGCTATTTAGGGAATGGAGGTTTAGTGTGGTTTCTTTCTAAACATGTTATTATTGTAACCCAGGCCAGCTGGGGAGGGAGGAATTCTGCTCCCAAATGTATGAACTGAATGCACCAAAGGGTGACTGACTTCACTGATAGCTGGGCCATTTCAGCTGTGTTCTTGAAGTCTGAGCCTCATTCTATGTAAGGATGTGAGTTTTCCCATTTACAGAGAGGAGAGCTGTATATCCACAGCAGAAGAAATTAAAACTAAAAGTTGATTTGTTTGATGCAGAGTAGAATCATTTAATGAGAAATAAACATTCACAGAAAAGCATTGTAGAATATCAAGAATATGCATCAGAGTGCAGGCAATTCCTTCCATAATTGTTCTTCTTCGGTTGGACAATGAAGTGCCATTTTATAAGAATATAAATTACTTGTTTTATCCCACCCGTTATACACAAAGATGGAAAAAAGCCCAAAAGACCATGAGTAGAGGGTGAAGAAGTTAAGGATGTGCTGTGTGCTCCCGGCTCCACTGCAGTGGGGTGGCAGTGATCAGGACTTCACAACGTCTCCTTTGGGATCACAGCTGTGGATCAAGATTGTATCTCTCAGTTGCCGGTTATTCCTTACTCAGGGGATATTTCGGTAGGATTTAGCAGGGCCCGCAGCTGCCACGGCTGTACCTGTTGTACCAGTAGGAATAAGGGCTGCAATAGCCAGAACCGTAGGGTCTACCATAACCATACAGACCCCTGTAACCCAGGGAGCCCCCATAGCCGTACAGACCCCCATAGCCCAGGGAGCCATAACCCCCATAGCCCCCGAGGACGGGTGCTCCAGAGGATCCCACAACCGAGTCCTGGGGGAAGGAGCTGAGGAAGGGGCCGGGGAAGGTGACGACGACTGGGGGTGGCTGGATCACAGTCGTGGTGTCAGGGCACTGACGGACACACGGCTCATTCCCACTGTCAGCGATGGGCTGGGGGCGGTTGATGCCACCAATGGCAGTGGAGCACAGGTCGTAGCAAGACATCTCGCAGGGATGGAGGTAAACTGCAACACACACTGATGATTAGACTAAGTAGAAGACAAAGACTTCAAAATTCAACAGTTTACATTAAAATAATGAGTCAAGTACAGGATTTTGAGTAAATAAATTGATTTCCCACTTTGCAATCATAATCCTTTTTTTTTCCAAAAGCAGATTTTCGAAAATTCTCTAAAAAATATCTACACATACAAAGGCATATGGGAAACTTTATGCCTAGCTCTGAAAGTGTTGTCCCTCACAAATATCCTGCGAAGAACTTAGATATATTTCTACACATTAAACTGAAAACTGAGAAGCAAAAGCAGAGAAAACAAAGTGACTTTGTCCAAGGTCATTTGATGAGTCAG